CGTTCTTCTGAACCGGCGGGCAATTAAAAAGATACCGAGTTCGAACATCCTCCCCCCCGTGAGCTATGCCTCACCAGCAACTGAAGAAATCGGTATGTGAACATCCAGAGTGAAAATGAATTGATGGGTAGGGCTGGCAAATGTATTCACGGCTCGTCAAAGGTTGTTAATATTCATTAATACATAATAATACGTGATTTGGTATATATAATAATAATAATAAAATTGCATAACAAAACAAAGAACATATGGTTCAAATAATACAAATATAATAATAATCATAAGAATAATAATAACAATAATACAAAAAAAAAAAAAAAAAAAAATAGTGACTATTTAATAAATACAATATAAAAGCATCCGAGCTAACCTCCCAAGTCCTCAAAACCCGCTTGTCGGACAACAAAGGTTTGCGAATTTTTTTTTTTTTTATAATAACATGAAAGGTTTGGAGCGCTTTGTTAAAGGCAACCCGATAGGCACAGTGTATTAAGGCTTGGGCGTAGTAAGGAGAAAAAAATCAACAAAATATATATATATAAAGCGGAAAAACGCCATAAAACAAAGAATAGCTCCCTTTTTTTTTTTTTTTTAGTTAGCTGGAAGCGGTACCAATTTAACTACTGGGCGCGTTATTTCTCCCAAGCGCGTCATTAATCGAGCAACTCGAACGTGACCATCAGCTCCGGGCAACAATTCTACCACCCTGCCAAGACGCCACATTAGGGGGGGGCTTTGGTTGTCGACTAATACGACCATGTCCTTAACTTTAAGGTTGGGTACACCTTCAGTCCACTTGGACCTCTCTTGCAGGGTCGTCAAATACTCTCCCGACCAACGCCGCCAAAAGGCTTGATGACACTGGTCCATCAACTTCCACCGATTGGTTAGACTACGGGAAGATGCAGGGTCGGACCTAGGAGGAATGGCTAAGAGTGGTTGCCCTATTAAAAAATGCCCGGGCGTAAGACACTCAAGGTCGTGCGGGTCAGGTGACGCCGGCGTGAGAGGGCGTGAGTTTAGAATAGCTTCAACTCGAGCCAACACCGTAATGAACTCTTCGTATGTAAAAATATGAGTACCAATTACGCGCACTAATAGTCGCTTTGTCGACCGGACCGCTGCCTCCCATAGGCCCCCGAAATGTGGAGCACTGGGTGGATTGAAGTGCCATTTACATGCGGTGCGCGTATTAGCAATAGCTGCTTGACCGTCGGGACTTTCTATTAGCGTACGTAATTGCCTATCTGCCCCGATAAAATTGGTGCCGCAATCAGAGAATATATCCGTTGGTAAGCCTCGACGGGCGATAAAACGGTCAAAGGCTGCCAAAAAAGCCTCTGTAGACAAACTTGTCACCACCTCTAGATGAACGGCCTTAGTACAAAAACAAACAAACACGGCAACGTAAATTTTAAAACTACGCGCTTTGCGTAAGCTCACCTCGCGCATTTGGAGGGGACCTGCGAAATCTATGCCGACACGTTCAAACGGTCGCCTTGGTTGCACGCGAGTGCTTGGCAAATCAGCCATGTAAGGCTGTAAAGGTCTACCGTCGAGCCGTACGCATACAGTACAGTTTGAGATTATGCGATGCAACACGGACCGTAATGACACAACCCAGAACTGGCGCGCAATAAGGGCGGCCAGGACCCGCGGCCCAGCATGACACGTTGCTATGTGCCACCGACGACACAACAATTCGGCAAAATACGACCTCTTGGCTATTAAAATGGGATGTTTACAACCGTAGGTTAACATAGAATGCCGAAGACGTCCACCCACGCGTACAACACCGTTCGAATCAATAAATGGAGATAAGCGAGCTAAGGGTTTGGACGAAATGCGATTCTTAGTAGACAATTCGCGTAGTAATACAGAAAAGTGAACACGTTGTGATGCGGTCGCCAGGACGCGGACGGCGCGATCTAGCTCGGATTTGCGCAAAAATGTATGCGAACTGGCTTCGATACGTCGACGACGGCAAGCGTCGGTGAAACGGTGCATATATGCGACTACCCGTAACATTCGGTCATAGTCTGAGAACCGATCAAACCATTCGCCTGTCATGACCTCAACGCGCGTGGTACATGACACAAGTTGAATATCGGGAAGGTCACACAAGGGGAGCGTAGGAGGGGAATCGTCCCATTTCGATGGATCGCTGTACGACAACTGTGGACCATTCCAATATAATTCGAGTTGCGACAGGACGGCTGGCATTATGCCGCGAGACGCACAATCAGCGGGATTGTTGGGCGATTCGATATACGACCAATTACAATCCGGTAATAAAGTGTGAATCTTGTGCACGCGGTTTGAGATGTAAATTTTGAAAGATTCGTGAGGGACCTTTAACCACGATAATGCAACCATAGAATCAGACCATGCTCGAACACTGATTATATTAAGCTGAGATGATAAAATATCACGGATACGCCTTAACCAGCGGGCTAATAATAGCGCAGCATTTAACTCGAGACGTGGTATTGTGATCGCTTTTGTCGGCGCTAATTTAGTTTTTGTGCCTATGAGAGAAACGGACGGATTTTTGGTAGTATCGGCCATGCGCACGTACACTACTGCCGCACACCCGCGTTGTGACGCGTCGCAGAATCCGAGTAAATAACACGGCGCTCCTTGATAGGAGTTAATATGTCGCGGAACGCGTATATTTAACAGTGACGGGAGGTCGGACACAAAGGCTTGCCATTCCGCCGCAATGTCGGCCGGTAGGGGATCGTCCCACCCTAAGCCGGAAAACCAGGTACGTTGCATGATGACTTTTGCTAAAAATACAGACGGGCCGAAAAAACCTAGCGGGTCAAAAATTCGTGCAACTAGCGATAGTATGCCGCGTTTCGAAAAAACGGGAGACGGGGATAGACTTAAAGCACAACAAAAAAAATCACCTTCCGGGTGCCATTCTAAACCTAATACTTTTGTACCGTTCCCCTCCATAGATTCAAAGGGCAATGGGACTTTTACACGGTCATCCACTGGTACAGCTTTTAACACGGACGGTGTATTCGATGCCCACTTTTTTAATTCTAGGCCGGATTTGTTTAGAACGTGAATTAAGTCAGTTTGTAACCTCAGCACCTCGGCGACACTGTCCGCTCCGGTACAAATATCGTCAACATAAGTCTGACATAATAACGCGTTACGTACGGAAGCAAAATTATTGCAATCATTGGACGCGATACTGTGCAACACGCGTAGCGCCAGAAAAGGTGCGCAATTAACACTGTACGTAACAGTATTTAATTCGTACTCGCATAATGCATCGCGAGGCGACGCTCGCCATAGGACATGCTGAAATTTTCGATATTCCGGATTGATTAATATTTGTCTATACATTTTACATATATCTGTAGTAAATACATATTTAGATACGCGAAACCGGATTAAAATGTCTACAATATCTGTTTGTAACTTAGGACCAGAAAATAAACATTGATTCAGCGACGGACCTCGAAAACCGCGCGCCGACGCGTCGAACACAACACGGATTTTGTTCGCGTCGATTTCCGGTCGAAATATCGCATGATGCGGAATAAAATAAAGTCCAGGTGACTGGGCTAAAGACATATGCCCGAGTGAAATATATTCCGACATAAATTTATCGTACAACGATTTTAATGCCGAGTTATTAGATAATTTGCGTTCAAGCATTTCAAAACGGCGCGCTGCAACTTCGCGTGAACCAACAAAAGTTTCGTTTGATACCGGCGACCGGAAAAGTAAAGGTACCGAAAATCGACCGGAAGGTGTTCGCATAACCTGTTCGCAAAATATCTTTTCACACTGCCCGTTGTCAGTAAAAGTGGCAGGAGCCATCTCAGGTTCCTCGACATGCCAAAAACGTTCCATAAGACTCTCTATCGATACGGTCATGGAAACGGGCACTGATTGATACGGGTGCGATTGAGACCCAGAGACGGGGCCGATTAAAATCCAACCGAATATCGAATTGAACGCAGAAGGTAAATTTTTATCGATCGATATTTTGCGGTCATCCATAATGGAAGCGAATACGTCACCACCGAGTAATAGGTCGATAGGCGACGTAACATTAAAGTGCGGGTCCGCTAATGCTAAATTGGAATATCGATCTTTTATTCCGATAGGAAGCGATTGTTTCGGCAAATCACTTGTTATAGTTGGTAGTACCCACGCATGTACCGATAACGCGGGCTCGGGCGCAAAACGCGGTTGTATTATACAATCGACGCGACCAAGAACATTAACTACTGCAACACCAAATAAGCCACTAATTGGGGCGGTCCAACGCGAGCGCTTGAGACCCAGACGGTTAGCACACCTATCAGTAATAGCGCTAATTTGCGACGCGCAATCTACTAGAGCCCGCATCGTATGCATTGACCCGGCGCGATCGCGAACGTGTACCAATGCTGTACCTAACAACACGGCCGTCGCTGCTGGAGCGGGTGGTCGCGGGACGGACGCACACATAGACACATTAGCGGGGAGGGGGTCTCATCTTTATTACGATATTCTACTTCCGAACTGTGGAGTAAAGAGTTATGTTTGCGGGAACACTTGTTACAGTTTGACTTCACTTTGCACCGCGGCACCCAATGATCGGCGCTAAAACAATTTAAACACAATTTGTGTTCACGCGTCCAACTCATGCGGTCTTCAATCGACCATGATTTAAATTGCGTACAAGAAGTCAGGTTGTGGAAATTAGAACAACATGGGCACTTAGTATCAGTGTCGGCAGTAACTAGCGATGTCGGCCGATATCCTAATCGCTTACCGGGTTGTTCTCCCCCTTTGCCGGACGCGCCCGTCAGCTTTACACCTTTTTGCGGCACAGTATTGACCCCAACCTTTTTTGAGTCACCCACTACTTCTAGTATGGCCACCCGGGACCTAACGAATTCTAAAAGCTGGTTAAGGGTCGGATAGTCCGCGGTGCTTTGCGCCTCAAACAATTTACGCGTATGTACCGGCAAGCACCGGAAGGCCATAGAAAATAAAATAAACGAGCCTATATCCGGGATTTTAAGCGCTGTTAACAACGATTGATTTTCGTGGAATGTACCTACAAATGCACTTAGATCCGATAGAGATTCTTGTGTCATAGTTGACGCATGTAACAATTGTTCAAGAATAGACGATGCGACTAAACGCGGGCGGTTGAACCGGTTCGACAACGTGGACCATACTAATTGATAATTATCGGCGGCTACCGGAATGCCTTGTACCGCCTCCGCTGCGGAACCTTTTAGACAACTAATTAAGTAGTACATTTTGTCTATGGTCGAAATAGAGGGGTGAACATCAACGCGCATAGAAAATTTGTCTCGAAAACCAGGCCACTCCCGGAAATCACCCGAAAACGACGGCAAAGGTATTTCCGGCAATCGTGAAGATGACGTCGTAGTGTCTAAAGGAAAAGTTGAAATCGACGGCAATTTCTGCTGAATATAAGACAAATCAATGGCTTCCGCCCCCTTGGGTATCAAATTTGTGGCCACAGCCTTTGCAGCATTAATCAACTGCCGCACCTCGGAAGGTAAATCCGGTGAATAATCATTGGTCCTACCCAATAACGAAAGCCCGTCCAATACCTCATCGTTTTCCGATTTAAATTGAATCCACAACGAATCTAAGTCTGCGGCGTTCATCGAAAACTCGGGACCTAACAAAGGCTCATTTGGTACGCGCAGCGCCATCGCATGAATACGGCGTATTTGCGATACGACCGTGGTCCTCCTTAACGTGGAGCGTGCTACCACACGTTCAACCCGAGTGACCTCCTGCTCGTCATTCATTATGACAGTTAAATTTAAAAAAAAAACCCAACGATCAACAATAACGTAGATAAAGTTAAATAACTATAATTAAAGTAGATAAGATAAATAAAGGTATTTTACCTGCAAGAAAAACGGGAAAATTGATATACACTGCACCTAACACACTGTAACCACGGTATAACCACTCAACACAACGCTGCTAAGGCCCCCAATAAGGGCAGACAAAACCACGCTCTGCTACCAAAAAATGTCGCGCCGGGACAGCACGTACAATTATGAGCCGTTTGCTGCCACGACTCGCGGTGTGCTGAGGATAAAAGGGGTTACTCTAAGCAGTATAATATATACAATTATAAAAATACAGGGTAATAAAAAACATATATTTCACCACAATGATTAATATAATAATTGATTAAAAAAGGGCGCCCAAAAAAATTATCGAAATATCGTAAACACATATATTATATATATATATATAAATAAAAAAAAAGGGGGAACAGTATATAATTAGATTCACGTAACGTGATACACAATAATATTAAGAAATATGAAGTATAGACAACCAAAAGGACGACCTGGTAAATTCCGCACTTTCTTCAGGAGATGAAAATATGATCGTTAGTCCACTGACGGATGATGCTGGTCCAAACGATGAAGTCCGTCACGTATATGGTACAACCAAAAAAAAAAACCACCAAGGTTTATAGCGGCGGCACACAGCGACACGCACAAAATTATATATATAAGAATACAATGTGAAGGAACAACCAACTAGGTTGCCTTCCAAAAAAAAAAGGTTTTACGTCGCAACACGCATGCAGGCGACGGGGCACACACACAGATATGTACCGTCCGGTGGTTGCAAAAAAACACACTGACGGCGTATATTATTATATTATATTATATTAAAAGGTCGACGGGCAAAACCAGCCGGATTCATATCGGTCTCGCGACGATTATATCGCACATAAGATAATTATGAGACGATAGCGGAGTTTTGTGGCGGCGGGAGGGAAGATGTACGTTCTTCTGAACCGGCGGGCAATTAAAAAGATACCGAGTTCGAACA